AGAACTCTGGCTTTGTCTGTCTAACTGACTATGGTTTGAACCCTGTCCTTGTCTGTCTGTCTGACCATAGTGAGAACTCTGGCTTTGTCTGTCTATCTGACCATGGTAGGAACCCTGTCCTTGTCTGTCTGTCTGACCATAGTGGAAACCTTTTTCTTTTCTGTCTGTCTGACCATGGTGGGAACTCTGTCCTTGTCTCTCTACCTGACCATAGTGGGAACCTTGTCCCTGTCTGTCTGTCTGACCATAGTGAGAACTCTGGTTTTGTCTGTCTGTCTGACCCTGGTGGGAACCCTGTCCTTGTACATCTGTCTGACCATAGTGGGAACCCTGTCCTTGCCTGTCTATCTGACCATACTGAGAACTCTGGCTTTGTCTGTCTGTCTGGACATATTGTGAATCCAATCCTTGCCTGTTTCTCTGACCATGGCCTGATTCCTGATCCAGCCTCCCAGACTGTTCATAATAAATGCTTGATTCCTGTTGGTTGGTCTGATTAGAGCAAATGTCTTGTGTGAGTCTTCCAGACTGGACATACCTTGACTGTTGTCCAAGCTTTGTAGAATGACTGTAATGCAAATCCTTAGCTGGTTTCTCAGACTGATTTAAGACAAAGATATGCCCTTGTTCTTTTTGCTGGCCACTGTTAGACTTATCACTCGGTCTGTGACCTGAGCTAGAGGCTTGCCTTTGTCTTTTAGACTGATCAGAGCTATAACTTCTGTCTTGTCTCTCAGGTTGATCATGGTGGGAATCCCAATGTTGTCTCTTGGACTGACCATGTTGGGAATTTCTATCTTGTTTTTCAGACTCACCATGGTGAGAATCTCCATCCTGACTCTCAGACCGACCATAGTGGAAGTCTTTATCTTGCCTCTCAAACTGACCATGGTGAGAATCTTGATCTTGTGTCTTAGGCTGACCATAGTGGAAGTCTCTATCTATAGTCAGTCTTTCAGACTGACTATAGTGGGAGTCCATATCTTGTTTCTCAGACTGATCATGTTGACCATCATGACTTTGTCTTTCAGACTGACTGTGATGGGAATTCTGTCTTTCACCCACATGCGACTGCTTGTGTTCTCTACCTGTACCTCCTGGAAACTTGTGGTCTTGTGTTACTTCATGCTTCTTTTCTTGCTGTGAGGTTCTATCTCCACATGACTTATTTTCTAGCCTATAGTGGCAGGCTTGGACTAATTGGAACACCAACAAAAGATATTCACGAAAGTCAACATGTTCATTTCTGTTTCTGTCTAAATGATTTAGAATGTTTTCCACAGTCTCTGGGTCATTTGGTCTCTGTGAGAAGATAAAACAGAGCAAAATCAGCTATTGTTCTATGGAGACTAAGAAGTGTATGAATGTTTATGCCTCAGTTCATTCAGACCCGTGTGGGCATTTCTTGATTGAGAAACCATTAATCTAAAATGGTTTGACCTTTGTTCTAGTCTTTAATTATCTGGTTCCCAGAAGCTCTCCCTTGCTGAACCATGCTTATAGGGAGTAGATACACTTACTTTAAATAATCATGTTAGTAATGTGAGTAATTTGAGGAAGCTGTTCTGTTCTTTCATATGCTATATTCTAAATGTTTGTTTACCTACTTCTAAGTTACCACATGGTGAGATCCTGGAAAAAGAGGAAGTTGGTTTTATTCATGCTTGTATCCATAGTAACTATAATAGTGCTGGTATGGATTAGGTGCTCAATGAATCATCAATGAATAATGGAATAAGTGAGTGTATGAGAACATGTGTGGCAAATAATGAACATGGAATTAAAAATATGAATCTCAGGTTCATTTCTGAAAAGTTATTCATCATTAGTCTGAATTTGTACTATCTCTTGTTCAAGTTCAAACGTAAAGAGGGAGGGGTGTGTATGTGTGTGTGTATTCTGGGAGTAAGCTTCTGAAATTCTTTTTGTTCCTGGGTAGAACATGATTAAATAAAATAAAACATGAAATTCTGGATGTAGATGTCAGAATCAGTCATGCTTGCCTGTGGGCCAAGTGTCTGTGCATCTTACCCGGAGGATGTCTCCAAACTCAGTCAACAGCAGCTGCTTCAACTCGTTCTTGCAAAGTGAAGTAGAGTCTCCATTTTCGCTGGCATATTTCTGGAACACCCTGATCACATTGAGTATGCTGTTCAACAACTGAGGCATTTTGGCAAAAACAGGTGAATCTAAAAGAAGAAACAAGGTTTTGACTATATTTGGGATCAAGACCAAGAGACAGAATTTTTCAGAGGGAAAGTGACCTGTTTTAGTTTGAGAAAGGAATTTAAGAAATGATAGAGCTCCCTTTTAGCTCTGCCTTCACTTTGATCCACAGTGAGGCTCCAAAAGAGGCTTCAAGGGTGGGGGATTGAGAGTGGGTAGGTATAAACTCTTGGTCCCATGCTAGCGAAAGAGGTAACTTCCTAAAAAACAAAGCAAAAAATGTATGGTAGTTATTTTATGTGCCCCGTCCTCTACTCTGGGTGAAATTTGCGTGATGGAAACTCACTCATATTAGAACCCAAAAGAACAGTTAGGAAGCCCATAGAAGTAGGGGCAGAACCCAGTGTAGTAGTGCGTAATTTTCTATCAGAGACTAGTTTACTGGAGAGGGCTCTGAACAGATCCTATTGAACAGTCTCAGTTTTTTAATGAGCCTTCCTGAAGCAAAGAAGTTTAGAGGTCTCTCTCAATAGACTAAGAATGTTAAGAGGCTAAATTCTAGCAAGTGCTTCTGGCCTGGATGGTCAGTTTGGAACTTGCTTGGAACAGCAAATGTGAAAATGGTTACAGATTAAAATAGCAAGTGGATATGTAGCCAAATTAACTGCATAGATGATAATAACAACAATGATAACTAAATATCCAGTTTGGTTCACACTGGGTATGCTGGGGGGCTGACATCTTTAGGGATTTGTATGTCAATGATATTTCTTTTTGAGGTATAAATATTCCAGGTACTGGGTTTATAGGCTTCCAAACTGAAGCCCTAATGGCAGAGCACTCTGGCTTTCCAAAAGTATAAGCGATGCTTATAAGGATAAGTAGCAAATAGTGGATTTTACCTGCCAAGCTGAGTCCTTTGTGGCAATTCACTGCAATGAAATTTGAGTATTTCTGAGCCTCCATGGCACAGAGCCCTCCACTTCATGAGCCCTAAACTCTTGGGTCTTGCATAACTTGCACAAAAGTTAAATATCCTACTATGGGAGACTCAGCTATCCACAATAGTTCTAGACCCTAGTTTTGGGATGCCTAGATCAAACTGAAGCAAGTACATCTGTCTTTTCCAAGCTCAGATCTAGGCCATTTCCACAATCATCATATTCTCAGATAAACCCTAGAAAAAGAAGCAGAAACATACGCAAAGCCATCACCCACAAGTCTTAGATTTTTCTCAGCCCAGCGCACTACAGTAAGAGCTTTGCATATACTGCCATTGCTGTCCCATGTATGTCTTACCTGCTTGAGCAGGAGTGAGCAGGAGATTCAGAAGCCAGGGAGAATATGGGAGACCTGAAAACTCATCTATTTATAGGAGTTTTAATTGTCCTACAAGGACATCCTATGAGACACCCATTCTGTGGTAGAGCCTGAGTCATTCTGGGCCCAACCCAGCTCAGCTCAGCTCAGCTCAGTTCGACCCAAATTAACCTCTCCCTGTGCAAACCGTTCCACTTATTTACTTCCTCCACTTCCTCATGAACCTGTTTGTCAATGGAATGGTTACACTGCTCAAGTCCTAGCCCCACTTAATGAGGGGAGTATGCACATGTATGCATACAGTTGTGGGGTCCATAAAGGCATAGTGCAGCCTGAGTTCATCCTCAATAAGTGTCACTTACTAAGGCTAATGAGAAACAATAGTTAAGTTTCATCAATGAAGGGTATCTATATAGTCACTTTATAAAACTTATCAAAGTAAGGATTGGCAAGTCTGTGTAGAAGAGTGGAAGACAGACATATCATCAATTTCAGGGTCATGTTAGTAGAAGTAATGATTGTAGAACTGCCACCACTTGATTCTTTTACATCTTAATAAATAAAAAGTTGAACTTTAGGGACACATCAGAAGCTTATGATATCTGTGAGGTAGATTCTATCAGACCCTGTCCTCCATTTATTCTCCATCTCTATACTCATGAAATACCTGCACAGTTTCCTGACTCAGGAGATCCTTAGTACTATAAATGCTTTGGGTAAGTGGATTCTTGAACAGTGAAAGCACTGGCAAATCTTGTGTAAGGTGCAAATAATTCTAGACTCACCCATATTTCTGCTTTTATTTTACATTAAGTCCCTGGTTGGATCTCTCTCTACATATCCATCAATCAGTCAGTTATCAGTAATGACACTTGATGTTATTTACTATGTGGTCAGGATTCTGCAAGAGAACCACAGAAAGGCAGAAAGAGTTTAGTCTGGTTAGAATAAAGAAGTTTCATGCAGGCAAAGATTTTGAATCCTAGGAGTAGGACCTGCCACCACTTGATTCTTTCTGAATGCTGAGGATTCTACTGAATGCTGAGGATTAGAAAACCCAGGTGTGAAAGAAGGAGAAATTTTGTATGTATGTATATACAGGATAGTTAACATGGTTGTTCTTCTGTCTTCTATTTCTATGCTGAAAGAAACTGTCAATGAGTCTTTGGTTGACCAGTAATGCATGTTTATATCTGTTTTCACGAGAAGCCACTTTGAAGATATCAATATGTAATACAACCACCATTGTTAATTCCCTAGCACTTTGTAACTCTGTATTGTCTGTATTGTGCTTGTGATATGTTGTAAAATGTTGTATGTCTGTTAATGTTTCCCTCCTTTTATCTTTAAAAGAAAAAAAAAGAAAAAAAAAAAAAAAAAGAAAACCCAGGTGCATGTGGAGTCCTCATGGGCTGGACCTGAGCTTCCCTTAGAAGATTAGATTTAGGATTCTTCAGAATATTTAGGTAGGCAGGGAAGAGAGAGAGAAAAAATTCTGAGCAAGAAGGGAAATACCAAAGGCACAAAGGTAAGAACTTGTATGTTGTACGTGGATCAGGATGAGCTGGCAGGTCTGGCTAAAGCACACAGCATATAAAAGAGTAGAATTAGAGAATTTTGGCGTGAAAGAGGAAACTTAGTCTTAGCTTCTTAATTTTACAGATAAGGGAAGCCAGTTCCAGTTAGACTGTGTGATGTGCCAAGGGTCTCCACAAAGCTATGACAGAAACCAAGCCTTGCATACTTGTTTTCTTACTTTAGCCCAGTATTTTTTGTTTTTTCTTTTCTTTTTTTTTTTTTTTTAAGCACTGGAAATTGAACTCAGGACCTTGTGCTTACCAGGCAGGCACTTGTGCCACTGAGCTATTTCCCCAGCCCCTAGTATTCTTTCTTATACATTCTTTGGTTCAAATTTGGGTCTTATTTTAAGGTTTATTTTAATGATAAATGTGAAACTTGGATCATTTTGGTCAGAGAAATGATATGATTGAAGCATTGTTTGGGGGAAATTTTTAATCTGACTGCAGTAGGTATCTCAGTTTGTCTGGGATGAAGGAATTTCCCACGACATGGGAGAGCTTTTAAGTGTAACAGGGAGAGTTCTGGGCAGCCTGGGACAAGTTGGTCACCCTTGACTTAGTGTATAAGCTAAACTGGAAAGAAGAAAGTAGGAGGGAAGTCGATTAGGAGTCTATTTTATGGTTTGGGTTAGAAATTTGAGCTGGATGTAGCAGATCAAAACTACAGGAAGGTGTATAGATGACAGAAGGAAAGAAAAGCTGGGTTTGGGGGGCATATCCAATGAGGAGCAGAGAAACTGAGAATGTTGGGAAAAACTTCAAGTCTTAAACCTTAGACACCTGCAAGAACTATGGTGTCCTGAAGAAACGTAGTTCTAAATGAGGCCCGAGACTCAGTGCCCTCAGTGGCATTTCACAGGCTTTCTGCATTTTCAAGCCTTGTTACCTTTGCTCTGGCTATACTGCCCGTGGAGTCCTCCAGCACTGGTCAGGACTTGCTTATGTCTGTTTATAAATCTTGAGAACTGGGCCATGCTAAGATTATTTTTCTGCTTTTGCATCTCTACTTAGTGCTGTTCAGTTATGTTCATTCTCATCTACTAGGACTGAAGACTTAGGGGAGGTTTCGTGGACACTAGAGGTAAGTGAGGAGAGTGGTGGGGAGTGATAACAGCCCATGGTAGAGAACAGCAGTATTGTGGCTGCTTTCTGTTTCAAGGCTCCCCAGCAACTTTTTCTTTTTGGTTAGATGGGCAGTTCTTTTTACTTGATGCTGCTGTGGTCGGGGTGGGGGGAAGTATGTTCTTAATATTAAGACCTGCTGTGTATGCATTCATTTAACACTTAGTAAATTCCTCTACGATGACTAGAGAACTGTGTCGATCAAACATTCAGCAAATCAGGGGGCATTTGTGAGTGAATGGGAAAGCTTTTGTAGGCACTGAGGTAAAAGTCAAGCCTCATTTTTGAGGATTTCAAACTCATTGAGAGGAGGATATGCAGGAATTCCTTCACAGCTGTTACTGTCATTGACAGAGAAGGGAGAAGTCTTTAGTGGAAAGAAGGGGAGGTGCAGGGCCCTAGAAATAGTACATCTTGTACTGAAGGAATCGTGGAGTGTATTGGGTAATTTGGGGCAAATCACTTAACTTTCTGGCCTTGGATTTCTTCATCTACAAGGACAGGGTTGGCGCTTTCTTTTGGCAGTAACATTCTTAGATTCTGCGATTCCAGTCTTAGGGTTGAGCAAGGGCTTTAGAGGTGATATTTTAACTTTGCTGTATTCACAAATTTGATGAAGTCCTCAGGACTTCATGCTTCTCTCAGTCTTCCTATGTCGAAAGTGGAGAAGGCAATCATGGGTGCTCTGTTACTTCACGAACATTTGGAAAATGCATTAAGACCACATTATTATTATTATTATTATTTTTAGTGTTCATTGGTGCTTTAATGCAGTTGTGTTGAAGTGTGATCTTGTGGTTACAAAGGTGAGTGGTTTTTAAGCTACAATTTATTGAGGTCTCATGTGCTAGGCTCTGTGTTAGGATTTTTTATTGTTGTTATTGTTGCTGGTGGTGGGGACTAAACCTAGAGCCTTCAAACTGAACTACATCTCCAACCCACACTCCTTTAAATTTTTTTTTTTACATATATTAACCTTTATTATCAGTGTATTCTAATGCAGTCCAATCTGGGTGGTATTTACAACAATGTCTTCAAAGAATAACTGCTGGCCAGGTGGCACCCACTGCCTGAAACCCCAGTTACGGGGGCAGGGGGCTGAGGCAGGGGAATTGTTTGAACCGAGTTTGAGATCTGCCTGATTAACAAAGCAAAACCACGTTTCGAAAAAACCGACCAACTTTGCTGATGCTTTATTCCTCTTGAAAATAATTTTCCTATTTTTCCCACCTCCTTACCAGCTACCCATCTCCTGTACACACCCTTCCTATCAGCTCGTCTTTCCCTTAAAATCAAAGGAAATTGCGTTTAAAAGCCTTATGCAATTATACCACTCAACAAGTTCATGAAAGTCACGAACTGCAGAAGTTGGACTCCTAGTGAGACATGAAGTGGGTGTACAGCTCTGACAGATCATTTCAGAGGGTACAGGGCAGCCTCTTCTCCCTGGCTGAGGACTGAGTGCTGGCCCTGGGGCACAGTGGGCAAGCCCTTCCTGAGAGCCTCTTCAATGCCCAGGAGCAAGCTGGAGGCCTCACTAGCTACCCCTTCCTGGCCTGCTGCTTTTTTCTCACAGGTATCACCTGTGGACCCCGCTGGAAGGAATGCTGTCCCCCGCTCAAACTGAGCTGTCTCCTACAGGCAGCGCCTCAGAGGAGTGGGGTCAGAACCCCTGTGGGCTCGCTCAAACACAGAGTGCTGGGCCCTTGCCCTCCACAGCCCCCCCACCCAGGAGCTCTGGGCTGGGTTGACCCATCTGCATTTCCGACAGCTCCAGGGGCCAACGCTGCTGCTGGTCTGGGCCACAGTTCGAAAGCCACTCGGGGGTCTTTCTCTCACTTCAAATGTGCTTCCTTCCCTTCCGTTTTGTAGAGCCCTCCTAGACACACCAAAAAGGAAATGAAAAATTCCACTGATGCACACTCCTTTAAATTAAAAAAATTTTTTTTTTCATTTTGAGACAGGGTCTTGCTAAATTGCTAAGTTGCCCAGGCTGGGCTTGAACTTTTGATTCTCCTTCCTCAGCCTCCCAGAGTACTGGAATTACAAGAATATGCCCCCATGTCTAACTATGTCAGGCATTTTATAGATAATAATTTGTTTAATTCTCAGAACAAACCATGAAAAGGGAGTATAATCCTCATTTCCCAAATGCGGAAACTGAGGGTCAGAGGCAGGTAAATAACTTGCTCAAGTTCATGCAGCTTTCCACCGGCTGAGCTGAGGTTTGAACTCATATCTTCCTCATTCCAAAGCTCTTGTTTGCAGCCCCTTTCTTATGCTGCCTCTTTCAGAACAGAGCCAATAATTGCCCATTCCTCAA